CCACGCTGCACCCCCAGCCCCCGCCACCCCCAAACCTGCTGCTCCCTTCTCTGCACCCCCAGCCCTGTCGGTCCTTTCTCTGCACCTTCATCCCCCGGTACCCCCAAACCTGCTGCTCCTTTCTCTGCACCCCCAGCCCCACCGGTCCTATCCGGAGCTGACCCCCGAGGGTAACAGCATCCCAAATGCGGCTGGACAGCTGTTTCCCAAATATATCCCTGTACATATTCTATCATAAACGGTGTTTGGGTTATTCGGGACGTTCTGCAGGCTCCCTGCCCCCTCCTGCTGTGTGTATTCGGGGTGCCCTGCAGGGTCCCGGAGAGAGGGGGTTTGGAAATTCTCGTCCCACGCATCCCCTCCAAACAGCCCCCGGGGCTGAATTCAAGGCTCTGGGAGTCTTGTCAGAGTTTGGGTTCTGTTTCCAGCTGGGAAAAAATTGCGCAGAAAAGCCAAATAGTGATGGTAAAAGCGTCCTGGCTGGGGAAAAGTTTTCTCGCCGCCGCTGTGTTCATTCACAGTGAGCTCCAGGCGGGGATTCAGCTGTGGAGCGCTGTGCTATCCATGCTATGGATGGGGAACAGCCTAGGAAGGGGTTGTCTCTTCCCACAGCAAGTTTGGGGTTTGTTCTGGAATCCTCAGAGCGCCCAGGTCTTCTCTTCGTTAAGCAGCAGCTGACAGTGCATATTTTATGTGAGAGAGGAAAAGAGATTCTCCTCTATGAATACATTGAACAGCACCGTGGGGTGTCTGTGTCCCTGCCTGTTACTATAAACTCGTGTATTTGGTCTTGTTTTTTTTTTTTCCCCTATTGTAACTTGAAGCTTTGTAAATATTTCCTTATCTGCAAATTTATTGACAGTGATTTTCACTGGGACTTTGGCTCTGAACTCGCTAAGAGAAAAGAGAGGGAGATACTTAAGCACATGTAAATCCCAGAGGGGGAAAGGACAAGGTGCTGCCTTTGATCAAGCACCTGGAATTTATCTTAATGGATAAATTAAGGAGTTGCAGCTTTGCCTTTGGGAGGGCTCTTGATTTCTCTTTGCCAGCACTTGCATTTGCACCAAATCAGTGGGATTGGGGTAAAGGCTGCAGAAATTTCCGGGCAGATGAAGAGAAATAGGTGCCCTGTGGCTGTTCCCTTTTTGTGGGGCAAGGGAGGGTTGGTTTGGGTGGGGTCCCTTCTCTGAGTGTGGGAGTCACTGTGGCTGGACAGCCCCTCCATGGTTTGGAAGTTCACTTGCAGTTGGGAAAATTTGAGGTAAAATGCTTCAAAGTGTTTGTCCCTGAAATATTAAGACAGACTGTGGGTGACTTGGCTCTAGCACACAGATGAGTGAGCAGAATGGGAAGAGGGGGTGGAAATCCGGTTTCTTATGGCTCAGAATTCCCTCAGAGCCAAGCTGAAGCTCTAAGGTTACGCTCACCCTGATGATTTAAGCTCTGTGTAAAGTTTGTGTCAGCTGCCCATCTCTATGGTGTCTTTAGATACCTAAATTTGAGCAACTGTGGTGGTTGCTGGCCCTTGGATTCGCCTTCGTGTATCTTCCTGCTCCTCTTCTCTCCCATGCAATTTGCTTTTTTCCAGCCAGACTATTCAGTGATCATCCCCTGCCTTAATTCCACGTTTTCCTGTGGAAGCAGAGCTCAGCTTTAGCCCTGCCAGAGCTTGTGCTGCTTTCTTGGTCGCGGAGGTGCTGAAAGTTCTGACCGCGCGTTTCCACACCCGCCCACGCTCCCGGTGACAACAAGTGCTCTTGGCTGGCTGGCACAGCTCTCACTGGCCACTCTGGAGCCCTGCAGGACATCCCAATGCTGCCAGGACATCCTAATTTTTACATAAACTCGTGCTTAGCCATCAAGACAAGTTGGAGTTATGACGTGCCTTTAGAACCCGGTGTGAAATGTGGCAATAATGTGTGTCTGCCTGAGTGACGGGTCTGTTATTAAACAGAAATTATCAGGTTGTGGGCTAGACAACTTAGAAGTAGCCTTGTTGCTTGCTTTTAGTATGTTTTCTTTCCATTTTTTGTGGTTTTACAATTGCCCTTTTAGTTTCCAACCTTGTGCTGGGTTTCTGCTTAAAGGACAAAAAGGAAAAACTCAACCAGGCCAAATTAACTTTGTTGTACTTGTGGAGTGGGATATAAAGTAGGATAAGATTTGATCTTACAGTCTCAGTCAAATACCTTAAAATCTACACTTGTACAAGCTTTTTGTGGTCAAGGCTGTCTTGTTTCTGCAGGGCAGACAACGTGATGCTGATAGGTAAAGTCCAAATTAGAGAGTGTGTGTGTGCATGCATAAACTTTTAAATTTCTTTGCAATATTGTGTGTTAGCTGTGAAAACAGCAGGAAAAGAAATGAGTCTTAGAATGACAAAGTGGTTTGAGTTGGAAGGGACCTTAAAAACCATCTTGTTCCACCCCCTCCATGGGACCCCTTCCACTATCCCAGGTGCTCCAAGCCTCATCCAGCCTGGCCTTGGACACTCCCAGGGATCCAGGGGCAGCCACAGCTCTCTGGGCATGAAAAAATGCAAATCCTAAAACTGCAACCTAAAATTCTTTATTTTCAGTTAAAATCACTTTTGTCTAGATTTTAATTTGCTACTGATTGCAGCTTCCTTGAGTCTAATGGGAATTAATTGCAGGAGAAGAAATCTTGCCTTGTCTTGTGCTCTAAACCTGATTTCTTCATCGCCCTCTGTGTTTTAGAGCTCATTTATAAATCCTGTCTTCTCTCAACCTGCTCCAGCATTTGTGGCAGATATTTCTGGTGTGTGTGTAATCACCTCCTTGTCTGATGATTATCCCCTTCAGGTCCCCTGCAGACAGCCTGGCATGAGCTGCCACTGTCCATGGGGCTCCAGAGATCCATGCCAAGATCCCCCAGCAGAGGAATTTTATTCCCACTTTTCAGCAGTGTTTGCATCCTTAATCTCCAGCCTGCTGGAGAGCTGTCAGGTTCTTCACTGATGTTTCCTTGGGTGTCTCATCTCTTGCTCTGCTTGGGATTTTTGGAAAAGTCCTGATCCAGGTACAAAGAGCATCCTTGAACTCGTGATTGTCAGGCTGTGCTTTGGGTGGTTTTGCATCCTGCTGGGAGCCCCAGTGGGATTTCTCTGATGGCACTTGGGTGACTGCAGCACAGCAGGGCTGTGTTTATCTGTTTACCCACTGAAGATATCTGTTTATCTGCTATTCCCACCAAGGCACTCACTCACCGCCCATGATCATGAAATTCTGTTCTAAAAAGGCTCAACTCATGTAAAGGCTTATTTGGTCCTCCACCAGCCTTCCCCAGACCTCACATATCCTCCTCCTGACAGATTTATCCCTGCAGTTTCCAACAGATCTGACACTGCCAGGGCAAACTGGCCAAGGAGTCCAGCTGGGCTCTGTTTTATTTGTGCTCCCGAGCCTCCTTTTGGGCCGTGGCAGAGTGAAGGGTGAGCCCTGAGCTGCCTTGTCAGCGTGACTGGGCTCCTGGGGTGGGTTTCCCTTCACTTGCTGTGACAGCTGCTATAATCCAGGAACTGACATTTTTAGGGTGTTTGGAAATCGGTCTGGAATACAGTCAGGTTATACAGCCAGGCCCTGCCACGCCAGCAGGCTCTCCCCAGCTCTGTCTCACACCATCCCATCCTGCTCAGGATGCCAGGCTGTTCATATTGCAGGCATTTTTTTTATTTAATCCCTTTTTCTGATGACTTTCCTTCCTCTACAACCTCTTATGTTTTACTGCACATCATCCTGGATCTCACTCTCCCCGTTGCCTGCACTTTGTACTTCTATTTCAAGCAGCTCCTCAAATTTCTCCCTGGACGAAAGCACATCATCTGCACAATTCTGGAGTGCTACAGGCCTAAATCACACCTGCAGAGGCTTCTCTTAGGTCCTGCTGACTCTCCAGGGCAGATCTATGACAAAGTAAATTAAAACCCCACAGTCTGAGGGTAGCAGTTGATTGTTCATAGGCAGTCCAAGAGCTCAGTCCTTTTTGTTTGTGATTTACACAAAGTGTTTCAAATGTGTTAAAGTTTTATCTTTTTGCTACCCCATTAACTAAGAGAAGGGGCTGTTTCTTAGTTTAGCCCTGCTCCAGCATGTTGACCCTTCTCTTTTTAGGGTTCATGAAGGATTTTGAGACTAGGTTGGCATCAAGTGACTTGGACTGCATCATCTAATCAGAAATTAATCTGTTTAATCCCTTCAGGTTGTTCCACTAATTTTTTTACATCCCATACAAATGAATTTGCTGTCTTCCATCACCTGGAGCTAGGATAAGAAAGAGTTTGGAGGCAGGAAATTGTCCTTTCACAAGGTCAACTTGCCAAAAGCAATGATTAGAAGAACAAATTCTTTCTTGTCCCAAATCTATGATGTAATAAGGCAAGAAGTGAAATGTGTCATGGCCTGTTAGCCATGC